TGGTAGAGCATCTGCCTAGAATTCCCCATTGAGGGGCTGGGGTGTGGCTCAGTGGTAGAGCATCTGCCTAGAATTCCCCATTGAGGGGCTGGGGTATGGCTCAGTGCCCCAAGTTCTGTTTCAAGATGCTTAGAGAAGAAAATCTCTTGAGGGGCTGGATAGATGGCTCAGTGGCTAAAAGCACTTTCTGCTCTTCCAGAGAACCTGCGTTTGGTTCCCGGCACCCACTTGAAACTGTGTGTAACTCCAGCTCCAGGGGATCTTATGCCTCTTTCACTGTGACTGCACTCACGCACACACAGACATACATACCTCACCGGTCATTAAAATAATAAAAATAAATCTTCAGAAAGAAAAAATAAATAAATAAATAAATAATAAAAAATAAGAGGGTCTCTTGAACCCAGGGTTTCTAGCCTGGCCTATCAATATAGGAAGACCTCACCTCAAAGTCGGTCAGTCAGTAAATAAAATCATTATACTTCTTGGTATTTGCCAGCGTGTGTTCCTCCTGGAGCGCCCTCTGCGTGTTGCATTTGATCAGTTTTTGTCTTTGTAAAGTGAAGGTGTCAAGGCACAGCGACTCCACAGCTGTTAAACTGCATGTTACCTCCCCAGAGTCACCTTACTACTCCAAGCCCCGAAAAGCGACATCCTGGCGGTCTCTGAAGACAGCAGGGAGCATGCCTCTGAGCAGCAGAATGTCCCTGACTCCACAGAAGCTGTGGCTGGGAGCCTCGAAGCAGGGTACGTGGCTCTCCTGTGGACAGAGTGGGAGATAGCAGATGATATGAGATAGCGTGTATGAGGCGTGTGGTTTCAGTGAGCTTGTCTTTTATCTTCTCCAAGATCCTGAACATGTCACTGGTGGGCATGGCTTTCCCAGGCTCACCTGAGGACACTCTAGCCCCATTTGATCAAGGTTATCTCAGCGCGGCCCAGGGACAGAGGTGTGATGGAGCCTTTTCCTGCCAGCTTGCAGGAGATGAGTGTTAAGGTTTCTGTGAGCTGGTCTTTGTCACACTGGAAGCCTGAAGTGGGAGATGGGCTCCCTGGGTTGTGAGCTGCTTGTTAGGCATTTACCAGTACAGCCCGTCTCCTGGCATCCTCCAGCCTTGGAGCACGGTGCGAGGTAGAGCTTCGCAGACTGTATGCTTGTACCTGTCCTGTTAAACCCATGCACATTCAAACCAGGAAGTGTGACCCAACCCCTGAGCTCCATGCTTACCTCAGAGCACGCGTGGACCCAACCCCCCAGCTGCACTCCTGACCACCCGACAGAAGCCATGAGAGCGAAGAGGGCAGACCTCAGGCGTTCTGGCAGCCATGGTGAGCATGCTCCCGGGAACAAGGCCAGGAGAGCAGAAAGGAAAGCCTCTAGCAATTGAGGGGAGAGATTTTTTTTGGCTTTATGCACGAGCTCCATCTGTAAGACATTCTAGAATGTTCTGAGGGACAGTGATTCATGAAGAGAGTCTCATAGCCAAGGCCTCGTGTCACCCTCCTTCAGTAGAGTTACATTTAAGCTCCTTGGGTATGGGTGGGCTGTGTGTGTGCTGTGGCATGCATGTGGAGGTCAGGCATTCCCTTCCTGCCACCCCAGGGGCCCTGGGGTGGAAGTCAGGTCTTCAGGCTAGGTGACAAGTGCTGTTACCTGCCGGGTCCTTGTTTGTTCCTTACTGGTGTTTTCCCATGGGGCTGTTGGCCTCTCTGGGCCTTCATAGAGAGGAACAGCTCTCCAACATGGGGAGGCTGGCTCCATGTCCCTCTGAACCAAATTTACCGGTTAGGGTTATGGTTTAGGCTTATTTGGATATTTTGGATTTATAACTGGTTAAGCATCATTAAAACCTCCATAAGTGGAGAGCTGGCTCATGGGGTTAGAGCACTTGCTATTCAAACAGGGACCTAAGTGCAGATCTCAGCACCCACGCAAAAAGCCAGGTATGTTCCCAGTAACCCAGCATTGTGGTGGACAGAAACGGGAGGACCGCCAGGGCCTGCTGCCTGCCAGCCTAGCACTGTGGTCAGTAAGAGACGCTGTCTCAAGGGAATGAGGCAAAGAGCAATAGAGCAGGACTCCAGATGTCCTCCTCTGGCCTCTGCATGACCACAGGCTCAAGACACACACACACACAGACAGACAGACAGACAGACACAGACAGACACAGATAGACACACAGACACACAGATAGATAGACAGACAGACAGACAGACACACACACACACACACACACACACACACACACACACACACCCTCAGTCAGCCAGACTGGAGGGCACTCCCTTGTCTCCCTAGTACTCAGAAGGCTGAGGCAGGAGCATCTTGAACTGCAGGCAATCCCGGCTATCCAGCGAGACTCCTCGGTCTTAGCAAACAAACAAGTATGGTTTTATTAACTCTCAGGTTTCCCTCCAGGCATAACCAGAGGTCCTTTCTACTGTCCCAGGATGTCCTAAGAGGTGTGTGTGTGTTTTCCTCCAGGTCACATCTCTGGGACTTGTGTCTACAGAGAGAAGGAGGACATGTATGATGAGATCATGGAGCTGAAGAAGGTAGGGTCCACTCTGCGCCTCTCTGATAGCCTTTCTGACTATCATGTGTCAGTCCCGTGGAGGCCACGCCCTGGCACTGTACTCTAGGAGCTGGCTGTCCTGGGAAGGGAAGGCCTGTCCACCAACTGCAGAGGAGGCGGTGGGCTCAGCAGGCATGCTGGTGCTTGCCGGTCATCCCAGCACTGAGGAGACAGAGGGGAGAGTAAGGTGTTCAAGGCCAGCTGGGCAACATAGTAAATGCAAGGATAACCAGGGATACATGGGACCATGTCTGCAAAACGTAAACACGCCAGCTGTGCAGCAGCAAAAGGACCCCCTGCAAAGGACTTGCAGCCCCTTGTGTGGACATTCCCAGCTGAGGCAGGGCTGCCGTTGGAGGTAGTGTAGAGGGGTTCCTGCTCTGCTTGGGAGACTGCTAAGTGGATAGCCCCCAACAGCGAATCACTGTTACAAGTGGTACCTTGTAACAGTGGGAGCCGTAGTTTTGGGCTAGAAACAGACCTCTGGGGAAATGACCCTGACTTTATTCAAACTCATCATTGTAAGTTGGAGATCTGCCTGAAGGGAGTTGGAGACATAGTAGTAGACTACTTTCTAGAATGTGCATGGCACAGTGTTCCATCATGGAACAGCAGAGTGCTATGTAGAATCAGTCTCATGATATGGACCTCAGAGTGTGGCTC